TTAGTACATACGGATTTGGAAAATCTCCAAGTACATCATTAGTAAAACATGTACAACTTTGATGCAATAACGTAAAGTCTTCGGAATAACCTAAAACGTGTGTTTTGTGTCTTGTATTATCATTAAGAAGATGTGGTGTCCTAAATTACACATTGAACTTGATAGAGGATAAGTCATTGGAAGTATGCCATTTATAGTAAAAATAAGAATATTTTATAGGATAGGTTTACTTGATTGATGTTGCATATTTACGAGATAGTTTCAGGCAGTGCACGTGTTTGATTAGGTAAGTGTTTATCAAAATCGCATGTTTGATTTTTATAACGTTTATAGTTCTAATATTAATTTTTTTGTTAAATATACTGTATAATCTGCCCATTGCAATGGTTTGTCGGTATCCTTACATTTTTTGGACTTGACAATAATATTAACTCAACAAGTGTTTTATTTATTTATTTACTTATTCATTTGTTTATTCATTTATTTATTTATCCTACTACAAGTTTGGTTGCCATCGGATAACATATTCAAGCATAGTACTAAAAAAGAAAAAGAAAGCAATGTGTCATACTAAAAATGCTTGAATCTTAATTCTGTAAAAAATGCAATTGTTTTGGAATTGAAATTTAATGCTTCTTTTATATCGTCAAACATAACCAAGTGTGGATAAATAACCAACATTGTGACTTTTATATTGAGGGGAGTGCAATTCGGATTAACACTTTATTTATTGTATCGTAATTTACTTCAATTTTTGTTTGCAATGGAAAAAAGGGCAACGATTTTTAGACAGTCTACTATGGGAGTTACATCTCAAGTGAACATACCGAATCCTATATATATTAACATCCTAGTCTACATAAGTTGGAAAATAGAGAGCGAATCGCAATAATATGCTATGATTCTTTCATCGTTAAACTTGATTTAAATGTTCATATATTAATACAACAAATATATATGAAAGACTGGAATTTTGTGCATTTGAAGTTAAATGTGATTAAAATATTGGCATAAATCTCGAAAAAAGATTCAGATGGAGATAAAAATGATGCGAAAACTAGTAAACAAGACAACATTTTTGATAATTACGATAAAAGCGAAGATAGCGAAGATAGGGAATATCAGTGGACGTGCGAAAGAGAGCTAACTACCACAGTGCCCTATCATACCGACAATTCAGGTGTGTTTTCTTCTAAGTTTGGTAGCGGTAAACAAACCTCGTGTGCTAGTTGTAGTGGAAAATTGTTACAGAAGTTATTAGTTCATTAATCACTACACTCTACTTCCCATGACCGAATTAATTATGTTCTGAAATATGCAAGTAATCAGATCCTAATTCGTCTTGTCTGTTTGGATATATACTCCATCAACGTTTGCAAAAGGCTTGCACATCATTAAAGGCCATTTATAGAGTTAAGTCCACTTTGTTTTTTCTTTCTTTCTTTTTGGTAATTTCTGACAACCAATATTTTCAGAGAGGGAGATAGATCCCCGGGAAGAAATGATTCAAGGAAATTCTGGGAGGTGGACAGGATTACACCGAACGAACATACATATTTGTAATACATCTATAGCAGGGCTGAATGGTTACGCCACGACCGTCACCCATGTTTCTCTCGCGCCTGCACGTCAAGATTGGCTAATATTCCAGTAATCTAGCCAATACTACTTAACATCATAATAACCGTGTCGAAAACCACCTCAAGTTCAAAGAGAATTATACAAATTTGTACACATTGATCTTCCATTGCCAGGAGTTATTTCAAAACATTGCTGAGCAGTGACAACAAATATGGTTATATATATTTTGCAAGTGGACCAAGAGACCAAGTGGGCGAGCCCATTATTTTGCAAGGGTGGCAAGATACACATATTCCAATTTCCATTAATCGATTGTCTGCCTCTAAAATGTATTTTGACATTATGATAAGAAAACAATTGACCCAAAGAATAGACATTTTGTTTTTTCAAAGTAAATAAAATGCAAATTGATCACTTATTGCTAATATTGCTATACGTCAGATTGGGCTGTGTATTTTCCTATTCATGGGATTAATACTGTGCTGTTAAATGGCCCTTTCACACTATATTGTGATTGAAGTACAGTGAAACTGGTTGTAATGAAAACCTGTCTCGAGTGAAAGCATGTGTCTGGTGAAAACCTGAATCTACATCTGCCTGTATACGAGTTCACTAAACACAGGTGTCTACTTGAGTAGACTCAGATGTTCATTAGGCACCGGTCTTCACTGGTCTTCATTATGACAGGTTTTACTGTATTGTAATCACTGGCTTGAAATGGGTGTTCACTATACACAGGTGTCCAATAGAGTAGACGCGTGTGTTCATTAGCCACAGATATTCACCTAAGAGGCGTTCATTATGACAAGTTTTACTGTATTGAAATCACTGGCTGGGAATGGGAATGGGTGTTCACTATACACAGGTGTACAATAGAGTAGACGCATGTGTTCACTTGCCACAGATATTCACCAAAGAGGCGTTCATTATGACACTTTTAACTGAACTGAAATCACTGGCTGGAAATCGGTGTTCACTATACACAGGTGTTCAAAAAAGTAGACTCATGTATTCACTGGGAACAGATCTTCACTAAAGAGATGTTCATTATGACAGTTTAACTATACTGAAATCACTGGCTGGGAATCGGTGTTCACTATACACAGGTGTTCAATAGAGTAGACCCATGTGTTCACTGGGCACAGATCTTCACTAAAGAGGTGTTCATTATCACAGTTTTGTTGTACTAAAATCACTGGCTTGGAATTCAGAATATACAAAAATTGTAATGTGTGTATCCTGCCACCCCTGCAAAATAATGGACTCGCCCACTTGGTCTCTTGGATCCACTTGCAAAATATATATAACCACCACAAATCTATATTTCATACTTTGCCACTAAATATTTAACATACATGTTAAATAAAATAGTTCCTCATTTCTAAATATAAACGACAAAAAATCTTCCTTTATTTATGTAATGTGGTCGATTTGAGGCCATGGGCAAAATAAGTCTTGTCACGCATTACAAATGGTTTTGTAAAGTTATATATCATGCTTTCAAGTTGTTATTTTAAGAATGCAGATTATTTGACACACTATCTTAGTATGTTATAATTGGAGTTTGATGATCTTGCCTCGTTATATGTAAATACACTGCAGGCCCGTAGCCAGAATTTTCCAAGGGGGGGGGGTCACTTTTCCCTAAAATTCTAGGGGGAGTTCACTTTGGCAAATTTGGCCAAAAATCATACAAAAACGGTCCGAATGGTGAAAAACTGCATGATTTTGAAAGAAATTTTGGTCGGAGGGGGGGGGGGGGTTCGCCCGACCCCCCCGAACCCCCTCCTGGCTACGGGACTGCACTGTAATGACTAAGTTTCTGTCTCTATGTGTACACTCCCCTCCATAAGTTTTGCCACCATTCCCCCATAGATTCACAATTTAAAACCTATGTGCAATTTTGTTTTTCTAACCTGCGCACATATTGTTACACTTTTTCGCTTTTTAACACGAGAGAATGTGACGTTTTTGAACACAATTATATGGAAATCCTTTCGTCCTCCACATTTGCGTCTATATCTCAAAATATTTAGGACGAATAAATCTGGCATCGTATATATATTATGCACCATTCAAAAGTTTGCGTGAGATCCCCACGCTGGCATGTTTCGGGAATTTGACAAAAAAATTTTGGCCTATCTAATTATTTACCCCGGGGCCAAATAAATGTGTCAATTTCCCTACCCTTGGCACAATTAATCTGGTCAAATATTCGAGACCCCTAGATTCTTCCACCATTTTAAATCTATTTTTAAACATCATATATCCTTGTTAGTAGACTTAAAAAGTTCGCTTACGATTAACATATAACCAATACAATGGTGATCCGCTCGATTACGCTGGTTTTGGTAACAAAATGTCGGAACGTCGAAGGTACGATTTTTCGTTGTAGGCAGAATCCCAACGACGTTTTTTCTCACAAACGTGTATCAGCATCATATGTTTTAGAAAATTTACATGTTTGCGAAAAAATAGCTCAGAAGACAACAGAATTGTCGATTTAATTCCTCACTTAAGTTACATAAACGGTTTGGGTTAAAAGTGCAGATCTTAACTGTTTTTCGAAAAACCGTTTATGTAACTTAAGTGAGGAATTAAATCGACGATTCTTTTGTCTTCTGATCTATTTGTTCGCAAATATATAGTATTTTCTTGAACATATGATACTGATACACGTTTGTGTTAAAAATGTCGTGGGAATTCTGCCTACAACGTGTGAAATAAGGAAAAAAGAAAAATCGTACCTTCGATGTTCCGACATTTTGTTACCAAAACGAACCGTTTCGGTAACCAGCGTAATCGAGTGGATCACCAGTGCAATAGAGAAGCAGCTTTTACAATGACGCAACTACCCGCGAAATCAAAAGCCAGTGAAAATACAGTCCATTTTATGACGTTTTCGCAAATTGCCTGAACGTTTTGACAAAAATGAGTCAAGAGGGACATGGCTTTACTATTGGTTTAATGTTTGTATATGTTCAACAAAAGTGGAGAACATACCTGTATGAATGATCATTTTTGTAGAGTGGGCAGGTGGATTGTTGCGATTGATTTTAATGAATTTCGTCCACTTTTCTACATACAACAGAAAACAAAAGGATCAACTACATATTAATAAACTAGAGTTCATGAAAAAAGCTGCTTTAAAATGTAATATAACTTTAATTAGAATATTATCTTATATTCCAAAGAATCAAAGTTACATTCATACGACACCTTAGAAACACGAGTGCGCCATCTTCTTGCGACGTGTCATTGTCTTCCCACAGGCTTAAATGTGATGCATCATGCTATTAGCTAAGTGCGAATGCTTTTTTATATTTCTTCTTGGAGTAAAACTATATTCACCACAAAGACGGTTATAGGTATATTGAAAAATTATAATCACTTCTAAACAGAATGAATGTTTATTTCAGATAGATGAGAAAAAACTGTGGATTGCACAGAGAGCTGCAATGTTGTTAAATTGCGTCCAACTTACGTCACACAGCCTAAACCGCAACTCAGAGGCTTCCCTGCTCAATCTGAATATTTGGCCTGGGTTTACGGCGATGTATCAGCCTAAAACAATGGACAAACCCAATGTTACTAAATATGATCATTCATGGGGAGTAAATACAACTGTTGGAAGTGTCAGCATGGAATACACACAGTACGATGAATATCACACGATGCAGTTTATTGTAAAGTACATACCCCCTATATTGATAATAATTGGACTTTTTGGAAATATTATGACAATATTTGTGTTAGCAAGATCAAGACTAAAGTACACATCATGCTCAAGATACCTCATCCTCTTATCTGCCTCAGACTCGATCATCTTGCTCATTGGTCTCGGCCATTTCTGGCTGACGTTTGCATTCCAAACAGATATCCGCAATTTATACCCGTGGATGTGTAAAGTACAACCGTTTTTGCTCTACAGTGCTAACCATTTTTCAGTATGGCTATTGGTGTCAGTGACAGTGGAAAGGGTTGTGACAATATATATGCCTCTTAGGGCAAAGACTATTATCACAAAAAAGAAGGTTTGGGGTATAATCGCAGTCATCGGGAGCTGCGCTGTTTTAGTCAACGTCCATACGCTAGTCACGTATGATCTCGTGTCAGTCAACGTTCCTGAAGGCGAGGTGGTAATTTGTTTGTGCCCTGCTAGATATTGTCACTTTGCAAGATATGTGGCAGTGTGGATTGACGCCATATTTGCGTCATATCTCCCATTTACCATCCTGATAATATCTAACATCTTTATCATTAAGGAAATCACGAAAACATCAACGAAAAAGAAGAGATTAGCTCGCGGATCTTCGCGGAGATCAATAAAAGCGAACGATGACCAAACGAGGTCGTTAACCATCATGCTTTTGGCTATCAGTGTAATTTTTCTTCTCCTTACAAGTCCAGTTACAGTATTTTTAGGAGGATACGATCATTTCCAGCGACAAGTAAACAATGACCCCAAGCGTAAATTACAATTCCAAATAACTAATGTGATCGTCCATATGATTTGGTACTTAAATAGTTCTGTAAATTTCCTCATGTACTGCGTGAGCGGAAGTAGATTCAGGCAAGAGTTGTTCGTGCTAGTTTGCCGCAGAAAACGCAGACGACATTACGACTTCCGGGAAGATTCCATTGATAACAGCTACAGATACAATGACGATCCTGTAGAAAGTGACCAATCGTTAGTAAAAACTAACGCTGAACACATCCGGGCATCGAATGTTTTGGGGAAAAATTACCAATCAAGCGCCATCACTACTGAAAATAGCTGCGAGCAGAGTCAAACAAGGGGATCACTTATTCAAATGAATCAACGAAATTAATCATATTCGAATTATCTTTAAGCTCAATTTAAAAGATTGAAACGCAAGGACCCATGATAAGGAAGAATATATTATTCAGAGACAGCAGAAAATGTAGTATCTAGACATATTTTAAATTAAAAGTATGGGGCAAGGAGCCACATTTGGAAAGATATAAAAAAACTGTAAAAACATGTACATGTACTGTTTGAACCTATAAAGACATTAGAAAATAAAAATATGGGTCAAGGATCCACATTTGAAAAGTACAATGTAGTGCTTGAACCTATTTCAGACATTAGAAAATATATTTCAAATTAAAGGTATGGACCAAGCAGTCAAGAATCCATATTAGAAACACAACAGAAGAATTTCATGTTTTAGCTAAATATATTGGTTTTCGTGTCCGTCAATTATCTTCATTTGAATCGATACTCATGCTTTTAAATCAAAGCCAAAATTAAGTGAATTTATTTTGAAGTGAATTAATTTATGGTGTTATTGATAATAATAACGTTTGGTTCATTTTCTCTGTTCTGACGGGAATGTGGTTTGGCAGATCTCAATTCATTGGAGTTTGCAATCACGATAATCAACAATGGTTTTACCAATACTCCGGTCCATATATATGATCAACAGTGTATTTCTGTTAACGATATAAAAATAACATATGTCACGCCTAACAATCGATAACGTACAGTGACAAAATATACCGTCATACACTTTAGATGTACGGTGTCACTATTCTAACTGATATGAAGCAAAAACGATGATGTGAGTGTGGTGTAGATTTTAAAAATTAATCTGAAGAATACTTAAGGGGTTTTATGTTTAATTTTGTATGTATTCCATTCGGAAGACATTTAACTTTCTAATTCTGTGAAAAAAATTTTGGGCAGTGCTCGAGTTTTTCATAGTAAATCTACCCACCAACAATGATCGGTGGGAAAATGTTCTTTTTCCACATTTCCTTTTGTCATTTTTTCCCCTGTCGCCTAAGAGTGTCGATTATTTTTATGAGAATATGTTTCCCAAATTTACATAATTAAGATCGGTTGAAGATCTAATAAATATTCACGTTTTTGCTAAAATAATAAAAATAAAATAATCATAAATGTGCGTTGTCATCTCGATGTACGTTGTCACATTGAACTTACATATCTGAATTCACAGTTAACCCTTATGTAGAACCTCTGCACTTTCCAGATATAGCATAAACGGGATTTCGAAAGTCTTCGATTAACTAGTATCGACCTCTCCATGAACTCCTTCGATAAATAAAATTCATAAAAGTGCAACATGACGTAACGTACCGACGCCGAATGGTCAAAGAGGTTGAAAGCTAACACCCAATTGTCAAATATTAATCACCATATCAACACTTCCATAAAATAAAATAGCAATCAACAAGAGGTAAAAATCACGTTTACCTGTTTACAGGGTGTCCCGAAAGTATGCCCCCCCCCCTAGGCAGACATATTTCAGTGTCCTCATAGTATGTGTCATACATCATTTTAAAGCTTATCCAAAGTTACATTGATTTGCCAAGTATCTTGGTTTAACTCCCAAATGGGAAAAAGTTACAGTCATTTTAAAAGTTAGTGTTTTGTCAAAATGAAGTTCAATTCTACACCACATTACTAGTCAATGTGTCCCCCTTGGCCATGGTAACCGCAGCAATTATCTTCAGATATGACCTTAAAAGCCCTTCAAATAGGGGTGTGGAATTTTATAACCCTCTTAAAACCTGTTAAGGGACTTAAGAAGAGTTTCCTTAGAGTTTCTACCCTCACCATTCTCTTTTTCCAACTCAATATCCATCCGACCTGAAAAGAATTGCTGCTGCTAAGATTGCCCGGTAGGACACATTGACTAGTAATTTGGTGTAAAATTGAACTTAATTTTGACCAAACACTTAATTTTGAAATGCCTGTAATTTTTTCACATTTGAGAGTTGAACCATGATACTTGGCGAATCAATGTAACTTTGGATAAGCTTTAAAATGATATATGACACATACTATGACGACACTGGTATATGTCTGCCTAGGGGGGCCCCCATACTTTCGGGACACTCTGTATATGTACCAGGGATACATGGACATGTTCGTTGAACATCACTTGTTACTCATAAAACCCTTAAAAACACATTTTCCAACCGACCAATTGCATGTTAGATTAACAACGAAAAAATCGAGCACTCCTCGAAAATCTTTTAACGTAATTAGACAATTAATGTTTAATTAGAAATCAAACATGAAATCCTTTAAGTACTCTTCACATTAATTCTTGATAACCACAATCAAACCTACATCATAGTTTTCGCCTCAAATCAGTTAGAGTAGTGAAACCGTACACCTAAAGTGTACGACGGTATATCTTGTCACTGGACGTTGTCATGGTTAGCCGTGATATGTATCGGAACATGACATCCAGTAATTTTAGCCTGTCCATTATTCCCGCATTCCACTCCAAATCGATAAACTGGAGTAATTGGTGACAAAAGGCCGTTTCGCAAAGTTAGAATGCCGCAATCAGGTATGACAAAGGCGAAGAAATTGCCTTACTGTCATTCTCATATGGCTAATAAAGTGATATTCCAATTCAAACCCACGCTTTTTATATTTGTCTTTTTTTGCATTCTTGCTACGCCCTCGAGGGCTACCTTTTTATTGAAATACATTTCTCATGAGCCCTTTTCATACAACTTGGGTGGGGGAGGGGTATTTGTGGACGGATATTGTACATTATAGAAATTAATTGAGTTACCTTGGTGTAGTTTAATGTTTTAAATTCGAACCAAGAACGATTATTTTTTTTTTTTTTTTTTTTTTTTATTTATAAATTTATTTCAATGGCTGTGCCATACTGGCATTACTAGCCATGTCTTTATATATATTGAAATGACATATGTATGATATAAATAATATAAATAGATCAAAGATACAAAATAAAAACACTTCATGTGTATGTGTGTGACTAAAAAGGGGCTGTTCAATAGGCCGTATAGTATTCTATCTTTGATTACTAATGGTTTCGAGGTGAGATGCGAATAGTTTTATCAATTCTATGTTTTTTGCTTTGCTCAACATGTCGCAACCATAGAGCAGGGTATGTATTTTTTCAAGTTGGGGCATAACTTTAAAATTGATTTCTGGGAAATTATGCTGGACTTCACCGAACAAAGTTTTCATGGTTGGCTTTGTAAGGTTACATCTGAAGAAAAAATGTCTCAACGTTTCAGATTCAACGCCACATAAACAAACAGGCGAATCCACAGTAGTAAAGTTGTGAGCATGAAACTGGGAGCGAAGGAATAAATCACATCTGATTCTGTTTAATGGTATCTCTTGACTCCTTTTAATTTCCATATCCATGGTTGTAATCAATGAGTTGCCATGCATCAATTTCAAAAGCCTTTTAAAGGAGGTCAATGATTGAGAATTTCTAGTGTCGGCATTAAGACCATTCCATTCTGTTAAGCATCTGAAAACACACGATCGTGACAATAAGCTGCCCCTCTTCCTCGGAAGTTGGTACTTTCTAATGTGCCTTAGATTTACATTGATGTTACGATGCTCATATTTCTCAAAAATTTCGTTAACATAGGAGACAGACAGGGAGTTAGATACTTTATACATAAGGTACATTCTGTGATGATATCTTCGTGTTTCAAGTGGTAACCAGTTTAATGCATTTAAGACCTTTGTCGTGCTTGAACCATACATAGCCCCAGAGACATGTACTGCAGATCTGTAATATAATGAGTCCAGAAGTTGCAAACAAGTAGCACTTGCACACCCAAAGACAATATCACAGTACTCGAAGTGAGGTAGTATAAAGGATTGGAAAATATTCTGCATATGTTTACTTGGTAGCTTTAACCTCAAAGCACACAACGGACTAAGCAATTTATTGATCTTTTTTACAAGGCACTTTATGTGCTCGTCAAATTTCAAGTGTTGATCAAGTATCAAACCGAGATGTTTATGGTAACAACTATTTTGAACAACATTTCCTTCAAGGTGAAAAACTTCATTGACTTGGTCTTTGGAGCGACTCGAACGGAATGTCACCTGCGCACTCTTAGTTGCATTGAACGTCAATTTCCACACTCTTGACCAAGAACATATAGTGTCCAGATCATGTTGTAAGGAATTGAATTGTTCATTCCGGTTAGTTTCATTATATGGGCAGTATAAAGATGTATCGTCGGCAAAAAGGTAGCACTTATTTTCCAAATTATCTGCTATATCGTTGATATATATCAAGAACAATAAAGGCCCTAGGATTGACCCTTGTGGTACCCCTGCATTGATGTAGTTTTCTGTTGAAGTTTTTGACTCTTGCCCATCAATAACTACTTTTACTCGTCTATTGGTGAGATATGAACTTAATAATTTAATCATGTTCTCGTTTATACCATAACCTTTTAGTTTCTCAAGAATGTATTTGTGAGGCATAGAATCAAAGGCAGCTGATATATCAAGAAATGTTCCTTTAATCTCTTCACCGTTTTCAATACAATTTGTTAAGTAATCTACAATTGTTAATAGTTGAACTTGGCAGCCATGACCCGGGATGAAACCGCTTTGTAGATTGTACAGCAAATTATTAGCCTGGACATGTTTAAATATAGCATTAAAAATTATTCTTTCGAATACCTTTGATATGGAGCACAAGAGAGTTATTGGTCTGTAGTTAATGAAATTTGATTTTGAACCTTTTTTATGAATTGGTACAATATTTCCCAGTTTCCAGAGAGTTGGAAATGTATTTTCATGGATAATTTTGTTGAACAATTTCGCAAGAGGTTTAGAGAGAGCACTTGATGCCATTTTCAACATTCTATTATTAATATTATCATATCCCCCAGCTTTATTTGTATCTAAACATTTTAGAATTTGGAGAATTTCATCTTCAGTCACAAGTATGTTATTTAATAAGTTGTTTTTTCTACTTTGAAAGGGTACATCTGGAAGTTCTTCGTTAATGTGATATTTCTCTACAAAATAGTCTAAGAAAATATTTGCTTTGTCAATGCTAAGGGTTTTTGGAATGTTATTAATGTCATTGATAACGGGAATTCGGGTATTTTTACAGTTTCCAATAAAATTTTTAATAATATACCAGTAACTTTTCGAACCTGGTTTAGCATCTAATTTGCTTAAGATTCTTTTCTCATGTTCAAGTTTCGCAGTTTCAATTTCGGTTAATACCTGTGATGCATACTCTTTATACCGCAAAAAATGTTGGTGATTATTGTTTTTCTTAAATTTGTAATAGAATTTATTACGTTTATTGATTAACTTACGCAGGTCGTCATTAAACCAAGGTTTATCTTTACTATTAATTTTGATAGTTCTGTTAGGAATAGATCTATTGAAAATGTTTGAAAGTCTCTTAGTAAATTGTTCAGTTAGTT